TAGACGCAGCTAATATTGTAATATTGGGGTAGTGTCGTTGTAACATATTTTGTTTTGTATCAATAATAGTTCAAGTTATTAATTACTGAGTGCCCATCTACGCTTCCAACACGTGGCCTCAGAGTTTGGTTCAAGTTTAACGTGGTGGATAAGATGACCAACATGATTCAACCTCAAATCCCGAGATTGACAAAGACGAATTATGACAATTGGAGCATTCAAATGAAAGTGTTACTAGGCTCTCAAGATTGTTGGGATATCATCGAGGATTGTTACACCGAGCCTAAAAATGCAGCAGCAGAAGCAGCCCTGACCAATGACGAAAAGAAGGTATTGAAGAAATCCTGGAAAAAAGATAAAAGAGCATTGTTCTTTATTTTTCAAGGAATAGACAAATCTACCTTTGAAAAAATTTCTGATTCGAAGACCGCAAAACAAGCATGGGAGATTTTGCAAAAATCTCTACAAGGTGTCGAAAAAGAAAAGAAGGTACGCTTACAAACTCTTAGAGCTGAGTTTGAGATGTTAAAAATGAAAAATACAGAAAACATCGATGATTATATTAGCCGTGTGAAAGCGGTCATGAATGAAATGAAAAGAAATGGTGAATCACTCGACGATGTTAGAGTGATGGAAAAAAAATTGCGGTCATTGACAAGAAAATTTGATTACGTGGTTGTGGAATTCGAAGAATCAAAAGATTTATTCCAAATATCGATCGATGAGCTTATGGGTTCAGTTCAAGCCCATGAGTAGAAAATGAAACAAAATGAAGATTTTGAAAATTTGGAGGAAGCTCTACAAAGCAAGTTAAATGTCAACAAAGGAGAAGCTAGCAGCAGCTACACACGAGGTTGAGGAAATCGTTGTGGTTATCGTGGAAGATACAGAGGAGGACGAGGAACTCGTGGACGTGATGGTCGATCATATGGCACCAATCAAATAAGTGAAAACAATCCAACATCAGGCCGTGGACGAGGATTCAGATGTCGAGGCCGAGGTAGAGGCAGATATCAACAAGAAAATAAATCCCAGGTATAATGTTATAATTGCAATAAGTATGGTCATTATAGTTATGAGTCTAGATCTGCTCCTAAATAAGAAGAAAGAATTAACATAGCAGCAACTGAAGAAGAAAAAATTGAAAATCTCATGTATTCCTCACTTATAAAGGAAATGAAGAATTTAAGAAAAATATTTGGTATCTTGATATTTGTTCCAGCAACCATATGTGTGGTCAAAAGGAACTGTTTGTGAAATTAGATGAAACAATCCATGGGCGAGTAACTTTCGGAGATGACTCGTACGTAGAACTTAAAGGAAAAGGCGAATTCATGATTACTCAGAGAAATGGAGAAAAGAAATATATTTCAGATGTTTATTATATACCTGCTTTGAAAAGAAATATCATCAGTCTTGGTCAACTTCTGAAAAAGGATATGAAATGTAGATGAAGAATCGCTCACTTACTATCAAAAATAAAAGGAGAATTGATAGCTCAAGTTGATATGACTCGAAATCGTCTCTTTACAATTGATATCAAGTCGGGAGAAGTCAAGTGCATGAAGATCGCGATCAAAGATGATTCATGGCTATGGCATCTAAGATATGAACGTCTTGGATTTTCTAGATTGAAGTTGTTATAAAAAAACAAGCATGGTGAAAGGACTACCAGAGATCAACCCTCCAAATTAATTATGTGAGGCTTGCATTAAAGGAAAGCAACATAGACAAAGCTTTGAAGTTGTTAGATCCTGGCGTGCCTGAAGGCCGCTGGAGATAGTACACACAGATATAGCCGGTTCTTTTGATATACCATCACTTAGCGGTAACAGGTACTACCTAACTTTTATTGATGATTTTAGTAGAAAATGTTGGATTTATATATTGAAAGAAAAGTCAGAAGCGCTGGAAAAATTGAAAGAATTTAAAGCAATGGCGGAAAAACAAAGCGGTCAATATTTGAAGATACTCAGATCAGATAGAATAGGCGAATATACATCAAAGTTATTTGAAGAATTTTGTAAAGAGCATGACATCATCCATCAGCTGACAGTTAGATACACGCCACAAAAGAATCGCACAATTCTTGACATGGTAAGAAACATGATAAAAGGTAAGCAACTACCAAGAAATTTCTGGGCTGAAGCAGTTCGATGTACAGTTTACCTATTGAACCAATGTCCAACACAAAGTGTAAAGTATTTGACGCTAAACGAAGCTTGGAATGGTCAGAAACTAGGAGTTGGACACTTCAAGATTTTTTGATGCATCGTATATGCCCACGTTCCTGAACAAATTAGAAAGAAGCTTGATGACAGAGGATAAAAATGTATTTTCATTGGCTATGATGAAAGAAGCAAAGCTTACAGATTATATAATCCTCTTACCAAGAAGGTAATAATTTCAAGAGATGTCGAGTTCGATGAAGCAGAATATTGGAGGTGGAGCAAAGAGGAAAAGAAAGTTGAAGGACTATTTTTTAATGAAGATAAAGATGATGATCTTATCAATCAAGATGAACAAGCTGATGATCAAGGTCCTCAACAAAATGTACCATCGTCGTCAAGCAGCAGCAGCGATGCTAGCAACATAATAGAAAATTCTGAAGCACCTCCCACAGAAGTTCAAAGATCCATAAGAGAGAGAATAATACCAGAAAGATACAATGATTATGAATTAAATAATGTTTCACTTTTCTGTTTACTTGTGAATAGTGATCCAATAACATACGAAGAAACGGTTGAAGATGACAAATGGAAGAATGCAATGGATGAAGAAATTGCATCAATAGAAAGAAATGATACATGGGAGCTAACAAGACAACCAAAATGTCACAATCCAATTGGAGTAAAACGAGTTTACAAGACTAAGACCAATAAAGAAGGAAAGGTCGAGAAACACAAAGTGAGGCTAGTTGTCAAAGGCTATAAGCAAAGACAAGGAATAGACTATGATGAAGTATTTGCTCCAGTAACAAGGATCGAGACCATTAGACTTCTCACAGCAGTTACAACACAAAAAGGATGGAAAATTTATCAAATGGATGTGAAGTCATCATTTCTAAATGGCTACCTAGAAGAAGAAGTTTATATTGAGCAACCACCTAGATACATTAAAAAGGGACATGAAGACAAAGTTTATCGATTGAATAAAGCACTATATGGTCTGAAGCAAGCCCCGAGAGCATGGAACACGAGAATTGATGAATATTTCCAGAAAAATGGGTTCATGAAGAGTCTATACGAGCATGCCTTATACACAAAGAAAAATGAAGACGGTGATATCATGATCGTGTGCTTATATATGGACGACATGATTTTCACAGGAAATAATCCAGGTATGTTCAATGATTTTAAAAAAAGCGTTTGTCACTGTTATGTCAAAACGGCAATCAAAACGTTTAAAAATATTGCAATTATATTAACTCGTAACACGCTTACTAAACCCAAATCAATTTCATTCCTAAACCATGGGTTGTCACCTTTAGGATTGCCTTTGCCATAATTCTATAATCCTCCTTACATCTTTCTCTCATGTTATGTTTGTTGCTTACTTGTTTCTATGGTTTATGATAGGGTGAAAGATTTGGACCTGGAGCAAGATGAGACGTTAAAACTTGCCTCACTAGGTAATGAATGGAGCAGCCAAGGTGTAGTAGATAATCTGATTAGGCCATTGTCCTGTCATAAAAAGTAAGTTGGTTGCCGCCACTGAATGGTCTATATACCTACCTTTTTCAAGCTATATTATGCAAATCTAGCTGTGTTTTCTAATTAACAAATTATACATGTTCAGTTAATTTTGGCTTGGCTAAATTGCTTTCTAAGATTTCTCAATACATTTTGGATGTTTAATAATGCTCATCATTGATGCACTGTTAGTGTTGGCCATTGGCGTTTAGCATGCATTTACTGCTTGATAGTTCTAATTTTATTTAGTAGTGGTGGAAAACACTATAGTATGATCCTATCTATCTCAAACACTCAAAGCATGTATAGGGTTGTGAATGGAGGTAGGCTAATAGTTGAAACAAAGAGAAAATGGGGAAATGTCAACCAAGCCTGTGAGGTATTTAGCAAGGGACATTGCTTTAGTCGTGGTTGATATTTGATATCGGATTCATTCCCGGGCAACATCTCTCTACTTATAAAAAAATGAAAATGAAAAAGAAAAAGAAAGAAAAAAGGGAATTATGACAACATTTCTTCTCATCTTTCTCATGATATCTAATTCCAAATGCACAGATTGAAAAACGAGGAAAGAAAAGATAGGTTTGCCTTGATGTTATGCCTTTGTTGTGACATTGGATTGTTTATTTATTCATTTATTAATAAGTCGGTTTTCTATAATTATCTTTTCAATTTCATTTTCATTGCCAATGTTTGCATCCATCATATTTACTCGAGCACTTGACAATACTCAAAACTTCAACAGGAATTGTAAAGAATTGATGGCCGACTGCAATCTTCTTGGTAGAGGTGAAGCTCGTTTGCAGAAGAAACTTGAGAAAGCAAAAGCGAAGACAGACAAACTGAAAGTGAGTCTGCTATGAAGCATTATGAATACCTTTTTCCCTAAGTTGTGTAATATTACAGAAAAGTTCATCTGTTTGTGGTTTCATCGGAAAAGAATCCAGGACCTGGAGACACTGATTGAAGTGAAAATGAAGTCTTGAGGGCTACTAAAACTTCTAAGAGGATTGATAGTAAAGGAATTATTATTTTGATCGTGGATGACAATTTTGATTCTTCAAGTGCTAAATATTCTTCAAAAGAAAAGCTGATGCAACGAGTTTTATCTTCAAATAACTTGGATACGAGTGCAATATCACCCAAACATTTACCAAGTTTAATGAGAAAAAAAAACATCCCTCTTGATAGTCCTAAGGCTGCCAATTATGTAGAGAAGGATGTTCAAGAATTGTGGTTTCGGACGAAGAGAGAAACACAGCTGAGGATGTATACATAGTTACATAAATTCAAGTCCTGATTTGAAATGTCAAAGGCCCAAAGGCAGTGTCTGAAATTGATGTGGAAGCTGCGACAGTGGCTGGGTTTTCAGGGTCAAGAGCTTGTTTAAGTATTGATGATAGTGCCACAGGTGCTGCTCCCGTGAAGTCCACGTTCAACGTTAAAACTGCAAATCCTCCACTTCCACTTTCCGAACAAGGTGTGTTAGCATGGCAATTTGAGTTTTATAAGTATGTTTCTAATGTGTTAATGAAACCAAACTATGACAAGTCCATTGATCGACCTACCTTACACATTATCAATTTGTTATCAGAATTTATATATGGCATTCTTACATTTTTCTTTGGAACATTTGATTACCTCCAGGGAACATTTTTTTTTCTGGTGGGTTGCTAGGTTCTGATGGAACAAGACGACATTTAGGAAAATGGTGCAAGCGAGGCAAAACGGTTGGATCAACACCCACACAAGGTTCAACTAAAATAGCGGCGATTTAGTTGTCGTTGGTGCTGATGGAAGAGGTGGTAGATTTAAGGTTATGCGACCTGCGGATCAGTCTTCTCAGGTGAGTTCAAGAGTGGTTCTTATCGCTATATTTAGTTGAATTTTGTATCTTGACATAGCAGGAAAATATAAATTGTACCAACCATCCCAAGTATGGTGTTATGGTTCTTTACCTATTTTCCTACTGTAGATAACTAGTGAATTTTACCCATCAATGCAGGATGATAAGGAGAATTTGGTCAGTGTAAAGAGATTAAAATGTGGAGCTAAACAAACTAGTTTGCAGTCTCAAGGATGTATGCAAATATAGCACTTCTTCGGGAAGGGCTCGCCACTGATTGAAATTTAAAGGCACGTCCCATGGTAACTCGAACACTCTATTCAATTTTTACGGCCAATGAGAACAGCAGTTATGTTGCAACTTTGTTAGCCGGCATTAAAATTATGGAGTTCGTCACCCAGACATTTTAGGGTTAACCTGCCATATGGATCTGGAATCTAATGACATTATGGGGTTCGAACACCTTTGCTTTTATTCATGTTAATGACCTGTCCTACACCATAAAACATGAGAAACACGTTGGCTGTTGCCACTGCTAGCTAGTATCATGAAGAATGGTAAAAAAGAAGTTTTTTTATGCTGTCCTTTTCTTGGCACACTCCAATCATCAATTGTAATTGCCTCCCCAAGTTTGCCATGAATCACGCCGGGATTCGGTCGAAAATTAGATTGAAACATGAATTACACTTAAGGTGGGGAATTTAATGTTGTTTTCCTTCTTTGTGCAAGAATTCCGGTGGCTTTTACCCAGGAAGTGTTTGAAACATGTATTCTAACCAAACTGGTAGTCCTATGTTGAAACAGGTCAGTTTTGCTGTAGACACGTGTTGTTTGATTCTTCTCTATATTTGGCCATAGGAATTGGTTTTATTGCTAAGTTTATATGGTTATTATTAGATTAGTTTATTTGTTTATTTATTTATTAAATTGAGTACGTACAATGTAGTATTTGTTCGAAAATAACTCTTAACTAGGGGTATTTAATGAGTTGAGCAGCTCGAACTTGACTCGATTAAAACTCGGTAAAAGCTCGACTCGAGACCTTAACGAGCTGAGTCTAGTAAAGTCCAACTCGACTCAATAAGTTCGCGAGCAACTCGTTAATTTTTTTATAACTTTTTAGTAGTTATCTTAAAAAAAAAATTCATTCAAAAACTTACTAATTTACTAATAGATAATAAAAAATGATAAATTACTAATCTATTGATTCTCTAATAAATAATTAAAAATATTAAAATATTAAAAATTATTATTTTACTACGCCTAAAAATTAAATCTTAATAATTAGTTTAATGTATTTATAAATTGTTATTGTGGTGTTTACACTTTCAATTTGTTTCATACACTCTTTAGATATTTTTTTTGGTTAATTTATTTTAATTTATGTTTATATTAAGTTCTAGTATTAGTTATTTTACTTATAGTTAAAAAAATAAAATAAAAAATTTGGTGAGCTTAACGAGCAACGAGTCGAGTGATAAATTTATTAACGAGCACGAGTCGAGCAAAATTTTAACAAGTTTAACGAGCAACGAGTCAAGTCGAACAACAAAAGTTTTTAACGAGTACGAGTCGAGCATTGTCCAACTCACAATTAACTCACTCGATAAATACCCCTACTCTTAACTATTTGACATTGAACGTTTACACTTTAGTCTTCTTAGTGCTTGAACACGAAATCTACGAAATAACAACAATTCCTTGTCATCTTGTCTCTAATTTGACACAAAAGAATTCAAATTTAATTTCAGAAGAATTTAACTTTAATCTCTTCCTCTGTTTCTCCTCTTTCCATTTAGTTTTCTCTAAAATTCTCCAAAAACATGAATCCAGAAAAAATATTATGTAGTTCATTTTGATTATTGTTATCTTGTCACTGAATCTGACACAATCTGAATTCGAGTATTCTTTTATTATGATTTGCATGTGTTTTCTTTCCGATGTTTCAGTTAAGAACGCTATAAATCTGAGATATAGGTATGAATTTTCCTTTTCTTACAAAATCAGAGTTTAACACCGACAATGACAGAACTAGTGCTGGTGTTCATTCCCAGAAACTGCTGCACGCGTGTCATTCTCTGATGAGTTGAGCCGCCGAGCAGACCTACATTCTTTCTATACGTAAAAAATGGAAAAATGAGAGAGGAAAATACAAAAAAATGGAGGGCCATCGGACAGGCGGTTCTATGCGGCAGCTAAACATTTTTCAGGTACGCTAATACGCTTACGCATACTTTGAAATGTGGACGTCAACATCCACCTAATCAGTTGACCAACATTTGGACAGCAAAATTGTTCGATTGATTCTTAAGTTTTACTTTTTTCAGCATAGAACTATAATGATATTTTTCAAAATGATATTTAGTCTGGTGGATGGATTATAGTACAGCGATGATGAAGTACAAGAATTAGCTAGCCAAATATCTGTCACCCGTCAGCAGTAGGTACAACAATTCGACGCTGTTAGGAAATTAAGTGTATGTGTAATAATAATAATCGTGTTTCCACTTTACGTAATGTAATTGAACATAATAAATTCATTTATTTATTTTGATTATAGGATTCGTCGATGATGGATGGATTAGCCATCTATCTAGAATCGTCTTCAAATCTAACAAAAGTTTAGTCAGTTCCATCCTATTAAATATTGAGTAGTGTGCTTTTTTTAATATAATTATTAGTATTTGATTTTTTTTCATTCAATTAGTTTAGATCCAATATTATAATTATAACTTTGGAATTTAAATAAGATATGTTATAACTATGGAATTTATGGGTATACTTTTTACAAATTTATGTGTTTTGCACTTTTCCTTTTCTTTAGTGTTTTGATGTGGTCTTTTAGTCGTATATATTTTGTTTTTTATTTGGTTAAATTCACACATCTTATAAATAATATTGTTTGAATTTAAATCATTTATAGGGGATATTACCATCACTTGAACCATTTCTTGAGTTTTACCCTACATTTTTAGTTCATTGTTAGCTTTTTTTCTTAAAAATAAAGAAATAGAATTTAAATTTTAAATGAAAGGTATCAATGCTACTTAATCACTAAAACAATAGAACTAAAAATATTTTTTTTGGTTAACTATACGGATGATCACTTATGTTTGTGTTTTGTCCACTTTTGGTCACTGACTTCAAAAAAACATAAGATATGATCACTTTCATTTTTATTTAATTAAGATGTGGTCACCCCGAGCTATCATCCGTTAACAACAATTAAATATTTTGATATAATCACGCATTTGATCTCTGTTATTTACATATTCTCTCAATTTAGTCATACTTTTAAATCTATTATGTTTGTTAACTATAAGATTTATTCGACTGATGTATATGATAAAGAAAGTCTAATTATGTTATTTGTCAACTATCATTTTATCACATTCTCTTATATCTTTGGTCATTCTAGACACTTATAAATCTGTTTTATTATTGTTTATCAATTTAATTTTGTCAAAATATTTATAAAATTAACATAACTTTAACACTTATCTCTTTCTTTCTTAGAGGGGGTAAAAACTTTTTCGGATTTAATGGTTTTGGACGTGGTCAACCAAAAATTTAAATAGTAAGAAACATGCTTTCAATAAGAAAAATAATATATTATGAAACTAACTTCATCGGACCATTATCGATAAAGATTTGAGAACTAGAAGATTAAAATTCTGAGTTGATTTTCATTAACTTTAAGAAAAACAAAATTATTGAGAAGAAAATGGGGGATAAAAGGTAAACATTGTTGTACCATCTATGTCACATACATTGGTAGATGATAATTGAAAGAATTTAAGATCCTTTTACAAAAGAAAAAAAAATCACATCATATATTGCGTTAAAATATTAATAGTTTGATGACTAAAAAATGAATTAGAAAACTTTAGTACTATAATTTTAACTTTTTATAGCTCAATGATCAAAAGAAAAATATGGTCAAAGTTTAATATTTAAGAATGTATTTTGCCCTTTAAAAAACAACAATTACAAAATTAAGCATAATAAAGGGACTAAAATGAGAATTTGAGCTTTAAGATTTATATCAAATTAGGAATAAATTGAAAGAATATGTAAATAAAAGGGACCAAATGTGTAATTATATCAAAATATTTAACTGCTATTAACGGCAGTTAACTCGGGGTGACCACATCTTAATTAAATAAAAACGAAAGTGATCATATCTTATATTTTTTGAAATCAGTGATCAAAAGTGGATAAAACACAAACATAAGTGATTATCTATGTAGTTAACCCTAATTTTTTAAAAGGGGTTTTGTATGTATTAAAGATAAAACACTTACAAAGAACAATCGTAAGTGTTTCATTAAAATATCTCCCTAAACCTAAATAAAAATAAAAAGAGTACACTAATTGTTTTCAATTTTACAATTCACTGTGAGTTTTAGTTTTTGATTTTTTTAACAACAATTTTAGTTCTTGCTTTATCAGAATAATATTGACAACAATTATAATAGCGATAAATAACAAAACTACGCAGCTTTGATTAATTATGTAATGTTATATTTATACTTTAATTTTACGTATTTGTATCTCTAAAAATTAAATTAAATTTTAATTATTGATTCCTTATCAAATAACATCTTTTTACATTTTTTTGGGATAAATTTTTATATTCTTAAACCTAGAAATACTTTATTTTTGGCATGAAAAAAACTCTCTTCCCCCCCCCCCAAAAAAAGCCCTACTGAGGTTCCCATACATTATTAAAGTTTATGTAAGAATAGAGATTTCATAATAGGTCTATTAACATGCTGGAAAAACACCAATTGATACAATCTACCATGACATGCTTCATAACTCATGCAACCTACCAAAACACATCTAATGATCTACATGTGGTATAGTTGAGTTAGAAGTATGTTACTTAAGTGCCTTAAGCTTCTGGAAGTGTCCATGACTCAACCAAGTGCTACTTTTTCCTTTCCCTTGTTCTTGGAGCTCAAACTTCTCTCACTAGACAAGGAATTAACCACAAGAGTTACTAACTTGCTTAGGTGTTTAGGAAGAGATTATAAACAATTCCTAACACTTGAATACACTAAAAATGGTCTGAGTTAAAACCCCACTAAACCCACTTATGGCAACCACGACCAAAACTTGATGTTGAGGGCTTGAATGAAAGCTCTAGTAATGGAGTTTTTTATTCTTACCTTTTTTAATTCGTCCAAGGCTTACAACACTGCCCACCTTTGTTGGTTCTAGGTTGGGAGGAAAAATGAGAAGGTTGAAGGGAGGAAAAAAGACAAAAGAATGAAGAAAATGAGATGCAAAACGTGGACCTCATTCTTATTCAATAGAATTCAGTTTTTCAAATTTAGAATGGTATAATTATCTCATTGCTCCTCCTAACTTTGGGCACAACTTAAAATTCCCTTTTTACCAACTATTGGGCTCAATCCAAGTCCAAATCCACTCAA